TAACAGCTTCATTTCATTGAATTTTAGATCATTTTCTGCATTCATATCAACTGGTTACACAGACTAGGAAATTTGAATGAAAATACTGCACCAGTTCTCTTGTCATCTTTCACAAAATATTATGATTTCGTAATGTTCATGCATAAAACTGATACAAATAAATTAATTCATTTCTCTTCAGTTTCTCGTTCTAATAATTTACACGAAAGACTTCTGAATGATACTTCAAGTGTAGTTGGAAGTTGGAATCAATTGGTGGGTGGATAGCAGGACAACAAATCGTTTTATCATGCAAAATGCTTGAAAATGTTGAATGTACCATTTAGTCATCCCAGTGTCAACACTGCTGAGTAATGTTCATCAACTGAGAACTTTAGTTGATTGAACATCTTCTGGTTATGTTGTATATGAAGAGTAACATTTCATTATTAAGAGGTATGCTTATTCGGACTGAATAGAGCAAATTGTTTGCATTGGTATGTTAACGGTCAATAATTAGTTTAGTTTACCAAGCCACTTAACATACCGACTCTTCAATTCGCACTTGGGCTTATTTGAATCATGATATTGGTCAAAATATCTGTGGAGTCACCTAATAACATATGTCAACATTTCTTCACCGTGACTGAAAGCGAACAAGCGAATAGTTCCAGGTTGATCACTACTGATGCTGTGAAACCAACTGATTTCACATGTAAATTGGAAAATCGAAATGTTACCTGGAGAACACTGTCGCTTATTTTGATGATATATCTCATTGACATCGGTTGGACCACGGCCATCCTAATTTGTAAACAGGTTTCATTCGACAGCTTCGAATCTAAGCATACGAATTACACTTGGAAGACCAGCCACACATACACACACACACACACACACACAGAAATCTCTAACATTATGACTCATGGTGTTTAAATTCAAGGGAGCGATAAATGTCTATTTTCCCCTAGTATAGGACTCCTCGGTAGATGTGCAACGACGACTTCACCACAGTAGGGATCGAATCCAGGAAGTTCAGGTTCCGTGACCAGCACGTTACCAATGAGCTAGCCACTGTGTTGTAATCCAGTGGTTCATACTTCCAACTTCCATCGGTTCACGACTTAGTGCAGCCTTCACTCAATGTCATCGTTGAGTATTTGTCCTCACGTCCATCAGGTTTGCCCCACTACTTGAGACTTCACACTGGAAATTCAGGAATCACCTCTCGAAGCTAGTCAGTCACCAATAAACACTTCATCAATTCAATTTGGGGATTCGTGGAGATTTACTGGTTTCAAGTAGGTATTCATCATGGACTGACATCAGTTGGAGGAGGTCGTGGTTTCGATCCCTGGTGGGGTCAATGATGTGTGTCGATCGATGAGTCTCATCCTAGGAGGACATAGCTGTCCAATGCTCCCAGGTTTCCAATGTTCCTCCAAATAACGTCAGTCTATGATGAATACCAACATTATCATTTACGCCTATCATTTTGTACTTGTGAACTTCATTTTAATCAGCCATCATAATCTCTCCGACCGATTTCTTGTATGAACTGGTTATCTTCGTTTAGTTAGTGAGCTCATATGTGGAGTGAGATCTCGGTTTTGATATAAATGGATGATTTCGTTTCTGCTTGTCAGATGATTTTTACCACCGAAGCACTACAGCTAAACGTATTCTGGTTATATTCTCTACTCACTCATAGTACCACATATATATATGATAAACCCTGATAATTTTGTTATGGACTCTTCAGGCTTGTACATCAATTTGAGTGGAGTCAAGCAATCGGCATTTTATATTTGACAAGTGTTGTTACATGTGAACTGTTAAAGAAATCAAACGGTATGTATCCACATGGTACTTGTGAGGAGGAAAATGAGAATAAATTGTTTTCAGGCTCTATTGAGTAGAAGAAATGATGACTTAGTGAAGTGGGAGTTAGCATGAGAATATCACATCTGCAAATCACTACACACCTAGTTTTCGTTTATTTCCCATTAGCTATGAAAGAAAATCAGGTAAATGTTTATAAGTTAGGCCAGAAGAATCTTTTCTAGTCTTTTAATACAAAGGAAGCTAGAATATATATTCCGAACACTTTTCACTTAGTGCATAGATAGAACGAAGCGAAACTCTAAACAAGAAACAGACCGAATGGAGCAAAAATTCAGTGAGAATGTACCTAGTAAGGTTGCATAGTGGAGATTCTGTAGAGCCATCAAGAGAACTGTCTAAACTGGTAATTTACTTACGGTCGGCTAATCTTGGCTATTTGGGAGAAAGATAAGTTGTCCAGCCTTTCCAGTCTTGTGTTTTGGTGCTGAGTGATGACTGAAGGTGGAATGAGAACTTGGGTCGCTACTGGATTCTCTGGATTCGAACCAATGGCCATGGTGAAACCACCCTGAGGCCCCATGAATCGAGATTCAAATCTTTGCCACGACCCAGGTTTCATTTTACCTTCAGTCATCACCCAGAATCACTAACAGGCCTGTCAAACCATGGCTATCCCAGAAAGTTTCATTGATAATTCTGGATTGGTCCACAGATCAGGCTGATCATGAGGAGAAAGCAATATCAGACATACTTCTGGGCAAATTAACGAAGGCCTTGATGACCAACTATCTTCGTGACAGGGAAAATGAAACGTGAAGAGATATGTTGGAGTAACTATAACTTTCTAAACAGAATAGGTATGCTCCATAATAGTTGTGTGTCAGTTTGTCATCATGAAGAAGCTCTTCATAGAGTGATTAAGTGGTGGTGGTGGTGGTGGTGGTGATGGAGGGGGTTATTTCTTGCTGGCTTGTGAAAATTGAGGATGTTTTGTTCACCAGTGATTGATGATCAAGCCTAGTGGTGTATGATGGTAGGCCTCCTTGTCGCATGACTGGATGTCGACCAATGGTTCATCAAGTCGACTTAGTGGAAACCTCAGTGTGAACGAGACCCGTGTGTGCTAGATCAGTGATGTGGTCTCTCATCTCGGACGGTTTCCTTGGCCGTCAGGATTCTGCCCAGTGGACTGGGAGCGTTGCAACCAAAAGGTGAACCCAGCCTACTAATTTCGGTAGTCATTGTTGTTGAGGCAATCCCCAGAGCTAGGTGTTGCTTACCATGCTAAGGTGGGTGGTAATCAGTTCAGAATGTTAGTTTCTTTATCCATGGCATTGGCTGTGTTTCAGTAATGCAAAGGAAGCCGCTGCTGAGGTCCACTTGAGAGGACGTCAACAGTATGCTCCACCAGCAGTGTTCATTTTAATGTGGATAGGCTGCTTAAATGCCACCTGCTCGGGGGAGGGAACCGATCCATCATGTTTGTGTTCGAATATCCATAGATCTGAAGACTGGCCTGAAACTTGGAGCTGAGCCAAAAACTGGAGTGGAAAATTAGACACCATGCATTCACATGACAGTGACACGTAACCTTCGGTGACTGAAGGGGAGTTAAGACCAAGCCATTGGCTTAATCCTATCTCGAGGTAGGTTTTCATTTGACCTTCAGTCATCACCCGATGTAAATTTAATCTCTCTTATGATATCTCTGAAATTCTCTAAGGTATCGTGGTACTCGAAGGCATTTGATAGAAACATATGAATTTGGATTTTGAGCTTGTTAACACATGCAGCTAAGGGAAATCCTCTAGCTCTCCGATAAGGTAAAAGCCACACAGTTTTACTGCAGCTCGAAGAGGAAAATAATCTGAACAGATTTTATCTTTTATTGTATTTGTCACACTGAACTTTGTAGTCAACGAGGGTTCATTAGCATGGATGTTAGTGAAGTATTGACACTAGCTGCGCATCTAGTAATTGTGAGAATCGAAAATTGATTATTTTCTACTGAATAAAGTATGTTTTCCCCCACACAGTCTTGCCTGAGTAACTTTAATGGCTGACAGACTATGAAAATCTGTCTTTTGTCACGGATAGGACTATGATTAGTTTATCCATGACCTTCAAAATGTCTACTCGAACAGACAAGTTCTCCATATTGGTTTCTCGCTCAGCCTCCTATCACTTTCACTGTTTTACAAAGATACTTTATTCTAATCGAAGATTGTGGAAATCTGGGAAATGTGGTACGCATGAAGTTCGCATCGCCACTTTATATGCAGCTGCCAGAAACTGTATTGATATTAAACTGATGTGCTAGCCTTGTAGTATATGGTGCCACTCTATGGATATTAGCAAAAACACGTTTCACATGACACCAGTGTACAACTTACCTTCATCCGATTATCTATCAGCTGTGTGTTCGTAATGACGACAACTGCTAGCATCAGACTTAACTGTATCAAATGTTAACTTGTTCTTTGATAAGTGGATACACCTATCGACTTGTACTTTGATAGTATCATAGCTCTTTCTAGTCCACTATTGGTTACACAAATTATAAGCTTGTTCTTCCACATGTGCCGATCACGTTTCAGTTGCCATAGATTTTGCATGCTTTTATTCATCACCGTATAAAGGCGTCCATTTTAACTGGTTATATATCAACTAGTAGGAGACCTAAAGTTTCTTCTTCTTTTACTAGCACTGAAAGCTTTTGCCTCAAAATAAATAAGCATGGCATAAAATACTCATTTGCTTAACTTTGATGGCAAAAACTAATGTGCTACCCTATAATAGTCATCTGACGTATACAAGAGAACACACAGCAATCATAGCATAGCATTGCATAGCATAGTCTATCGTCTCAAAGTGACCTACTTGAAAAAACTGCATAGAACATGATGTGAAGGTGTGCCTTAACACTGAAACCTATTCACAAAATCATCATTTTACATAAAAAGCAACTTATTGGCTATAATCTAGCTTCCTTGCTAAGATCGTCTTCATACTGATTCAACATACATGAGGTAATAATACTTGTATTTTGTGCCAAATCCCATATTGTATAGTGTATATATCATTAGTCTATGACATTCCTATTGGTCAGGGTATAATCAATAAATCCGTTGAATAGAACATTAGAATTTTTAATATTCTCTTAATCATGTAAATGTATGAATGACCCTGAAAAAGTGAATCTTGATTATCAAAAGATTTATGGTCAGATAATAAAAATAATTGAAGATATTCATGATTTTAAATTTCAATTGTCATCGTTTTATAAATTTATCAACATTATCACATTAAAACGTGATATTAGATTCCTGGTGAATTTATGTCAAACCGATGAATCATTATTCAAGGCTTCCAGATTGAGTAGTCGACAGTCAGTACAGCTTAAACTTGAATACTGTAAATCTTTGTCTTCAAAACAAGAATATCTCCCTTGTACTATTCAATTAACAGGAGTTAAACACTATCCAACAATCTATAGCACGTTGACTGTTCAAACAGGTGATATATCTAGATGGAGGAAGCTTATGAGTCGAACTAAGCTGTCAACAAGTGAACAGCTGGTATTTAGGGCTAATCAAAGCTTACAAGTACCTGTTACCTCGCATAATATCACATGTGTTATTCATTCAACATGTCAAGAAATTCATATGTTGCAGACTATTCTAGAATACCTTGAAATATTAACTGAACAAGTAATTGGATCAGAGAATCGAAATGTAAACACCATTGACTATAATGATTTAAACAATTTACTGTGTGATAATGTAATACACATTTGTAAAATTATGTCACGTTTAGTTGAATATGTGAGTAGGATTAACAATCGACGATTCATGGATCGAATAATTGTACATTTAAGGCATAAATGCACAGCCAACTTCTTTATATATCTGATTGGTAAAGAAAGAAGTAGGAGAGTTCAATGAAAAAAGGAAAAAAAGAATATCATTTTGTTTGTTTAACTGGTTGATGAAAGTTGAACACATTCAATGTACAATTGGATTTGATATGTTGTAGATAAGAGAATACTCTATACGAGTGTATAATGTTCAATTGTGAGATATGGTAATGTTGCTGAGAAATTATTTAACTCTTGATTTCCATAGTATATCGCAATATCATTTCATGGTTACTATCGATTTGTTCAAAGTTTATTTTTTGATCTCAAGACTGTTAATGAGTAGTTTGATAATACGAGCTTCAAGGTAGACATTACATTTCAAGACCTTTCATTATAAACTACTCAGTTTTATCTGCAGGTTTGTTGAGGTGTAATAATTGATTTTAGGTTGGGATTCATCATTGATTGACATGAGATAGAAGAACATTGGAAACCTGGGAGAAATGGACAACTGTTTCACACTAGTATTTAGTATCCTCTGTAGTGTGCACTCATAATCCCATCCAGCCGAGGGTCGAACGTAGGACCTTCAGGTTCCGAGACCAGCGTGTTATCATTGAGCCAGCCAATGTGTTGGAATCCACTGGTCCATATTTCCCACTTGTATGAGTTCACGATATAACACAACCTACATCCAATGTTGCCATTGATTAACTGACGTCATGTTTGACTTCGTTGACTCTCCTGGTCACGACTTCTCATTGGAACCTCAGGAATTACCTCCTCTCGAGGCTAGTCATCAGTGGGCGCTAAATTCGTTCTGTCTGGAGGTTTATGGAGGATTATCGATTGATCTTAGGTTGGAATTTATCATCAATTTTAAATGAAGTCTTTCTGGTCAAGGCTTATCATGCTGTGGCTTGAGAAAAGCTGTCCAAGGTTACTTATAAGGGGAGTCAAATAACTAGTTTACTCTCTCCCACCTCAAATATATGGAAAAGCAGTAGGCTTTTTGATCACAAATGATGCCTTCACTACATTTCTTGTTTGTCATACAGTTACAGACTGAATAGTATAAAAGTTAGACATAAAGTTATCTTCTACTTGATTTTTTTGAAGGGTTCTACTTTGATTTATATGTCTCTCTAGCCGTCCACTGGCTCATGTGGCAGAGAAGAGATAAGCTAGATAGTTGAAGAGTATTTATCCTAACCAAACGCGGATATTTCCAGCACAATAATCACACACATAGTAAAGGATCAATTCATAAAACCACTGACTATTGGTTTGGGCTCGATAGGAAGGTGAAGATTATCTGATTGGAGTCCTGAATATGTAAGAAATCGATTGTTGCAAATTCTTTGTAGTGTGTCTGATCACACATGATCATCACATGCATACATTCTTCATTTGCCTGTTCTCTGTCATTGTGATTGATGATTTAAAATAAGGATGGTGATGGTGTTGACTAAAGCAGTTGTAGTATAGATGATGATAATGATGGTAAGGAACAAGAAAGCAGCATGAAAATGTGAACACTCCGATAATAAAAGTGGGTCAAAAGCTTGTGAAGATAAAAGTTGAGTAATACTGAAGGATAAGGTAAGTGGATAAACAAAGTGTAGACAAATACAATAAGTATATGAGAGGTGTGAAGAATAAGAGGAGGGTAGGAGAAAGCTGAATGATAAAGTTATTAAGTAAGTATTAGTTGACCAAGGGAGAGATGAAGGATGTGCAAACTTCTTCTCAATGCAGGACTATGATTACTGGCTGGAATTCCTACAGTTTGTGGTATATGTAGAAGACGAATTCGAATATGTTTGGAAAGATAAGGTGGTATGCAATGAATAATCATGAAAGATCTCTCATATCTCTTATGCAAACAATTAGTTAACCGCAGTTTAATAGACGTCTTCGATAGTGTTCACTTAGTAGATAAGAATAATGCTTTCACGATTGTTCACCGAATGTCACCTCATCTTTCGAAACGTTTTCGAACTCATATTTCACTCTTGCTCTAAGACGAAAATGTATATCAATCTCTTGGAACCAACCCATTCCAAAAATTCTACAACAGATCAACAATCTCTTCAAAGGAGAAGAAGAAACAAAGCTAGACAAATGGAGAATGAAATTGAATGGACGTGTCCTTTCTTGGTTCTACGGCAGAGCAAAACTACACAAACCAGATATCCCTCTACGACAATTAGTCTCACTTCCTTGAACTGCAACGTGCAACATATCAAGAGAACTTTCGAGAAAACCAGAACACCTCGTTCAATCATGTGGACATTCCATGAAGTCGCCAGCGGAATTCTTAGAAAAGATCAAAAGCATTAATATAGAAAACGATGAATTAATGGTATCCTTGAATGTCACAGCACTATACACATGAGTCGAACCCCAGGTGGCCAAGGAAACTATGCCCCTTACGCCAATGAAGACACAGGCCTTTCACAACGCACAAAGCTGAAATGTTCAAATCTGTGGAATTCATCCACCTTTGTATGACAACATACTTCGAATTCAACGGCAAGATATACAAACCGATGAAAGGAACTCCAATGGGATCACCGATATCCGGATTAATTGCAGAAGCAGTGGTGCAGAGACTGGAAGCCATTATTCTACCTGTGATCAAACCAAAAATTAGGATTCGCTATGTGGACGGCACTTTCATCATCATTAGAAGAGATGATATAGAAAACACCCACAATTTGATCAACAACGTTTCCAGTGACATCAAATTCACAATGGAGAAAAAGTCAAACAACCAACTACCATTTCTGGATGCTCTGGTCAAAAGAACAAATACGGGGAATCTGGAAACCCAAGTGTACAGGAAGCCAACACACACTGACCAAGTCCTCAACTACAGTAGCAACAACTCACAAGATCAGTTGCGTGCAGACTCTATTCAGAAGAGCGAGAAGGCGTTGCAGTACAACAACTTCACAGAGAAAAGAAGAAAATTACTTGATGTCCATCCTAAAGAAGAACGCCTACCCACGAAACTTTATCAGAAGATGCCCATCCCGTACATCATCAACTACAAAGTCATCGACAGAAATCAACAAATGCATCACCCTACCATACATAAAGAATATATCAGAAATCACGAGAAGATTGCCGAGACCACTTGGAATTGGTGTAGCTCATAAACTAACAAATCCCCTCCAAACACTATTATGCAGACCGAAGGATGCAACAAACAAAGAAGACAAACCGAATATTATTAACGAAATCAATTGCAACAACTGTAGTCAACACTACACTGAACAAAGTTGTCGCCCTCTTCACCTTCGTTTACATGAACATCAATTGGCTATTAAAAGTCATAGCATTTCACCACTCATTTCAATGCGCATGGATAATTGCGGACATGAATTGAATTTTGACACTGCAGAAATTTTGGACGGAGAGAGGAAACAAAAATACCAGAGAACTCCTAGAAGCTTGGCATTCACGTCAGTCAGTCAGCAATCAATAGATATGTAGACGTAGACCCGATCTATCAACTAATATGAAAAATGATAAATGACAGAAAGGTCAGGTCAAGCAGAGGAACAGCCAACAGGAAAATCTATACAGTCAATGACACAACAATCGAAGGAAACAACCAATCACAGACCACATCGTCAGAGCAAGCGACTAAATCACTCACGGAGAGATACTGACAGCTCACTTCATACTGAAGTTAGTGCTGATGATGTCGCTGTCTAGCAAGACACGATGAAAGCTTCACGATTGAACAACCTAGCTCAGAGAAAAGAATACAACCAAGACCATCCACCTGAGCTACAAATATTTCCCACTATTTCACTGGTCAAATTCGTTTCGAACAACGAAACAACAACATTAGGTCTATACTCGGCGCACAAGAAGTGGCTATCGTCTCTCGGTGGCGTAGTAGATAACGTTCTAGAGTCTGAATTTACTGGTGTTGTGTTCGAATCCTAGTTGAGAGAACATCACTCACTGAGAGGTAGATACATCCATCTGACAAGTCCTAGGTAGGATGGAACGCGTGTCCTGATTTCCGTTACTATCCACTATTCATCTTAGTCCCATATAATATAGTGACTATTAAAAAGGAATTTATTTCTAAGGCTTAACAAGTATCATCATTTTATCAGCTTTATTAGTTACTGTTAACATTTTTCAAGTACGTGCTGAGTTTTGTTCCTACTGTGTTCAGCTTGGAGGAATAAAATCCCTGATAAACGCATTTATACAGATTCTACAACCTTAAAATATTATACAAATCTATTAGAAGGTTTGTGGAAGTATATTAATTGATTTTACATAGGAATTCATCATGGACTGTCATGTGGGACATAAAAATCCCGGCCCAGCGGCTCAGTGGTAACGCGCTGGCCATGAAACTTGAATGTCTTGGGTTCGATCCCTGACGAAATGGAGTCATGGGTGTGCATTGCTGTGGAGTTCAACACTAGGACGAAACAGTTGTCTAGTGCTCCCAGATTTCTGATGTTCTTCCGACTTATGTCAGTTCATGGTGAATTCCAACATAAAATCATATGAATTTATTTGGAATTTAGAATGATTCAATAGTTCTGACTAGGATAATAATGATGTGAAATTTACTGAAGAATCTAGCCGTTAGCAAGTTTATTTTCAAAAGATGCGTGTTTAAGTTGGTCAGTCTTTGAAGAGCAAGAAATTTCATGTTGCAAACAATCGATGAGAATCCCTCATTTCATCTAGATTTTATGCTTTTTGTTATTTGTCAATGAAAGAACTTGATGAACAGAATCTAGTCAACATTTAGAACTAAAAAACATGACACTTATAGCTCTTCATTGATCAATCAGTTTGTATCATTCAACCTCACAAGACGTCACTTGCAGCACAAACAGGTCACTTGTAACGTCTCTGACCTCAGCATTGGGTGATTCTTATTATTAGTAGTATTTGTCCTTTGGGTTCCTAATAGAAAAAACGCCTTCACTAGCACGTCACCATTTCACTCTCTTCTCTCTAGTCTTTTCAACCTGGCTTCCTCACACCATCTCCTCCATGTCACCCTCGACTCACACGCCCAACTCGTCGTTTCCCATT